CTGTCTCCACCACTGCTCCCCTCAGCAATTCCTCCATCTGCCTGTTCTGCTCCCCACTCTGTCTCTGGTGAATCCTCTCACCACCCCTGCACTTCTGGCCTCTACCCCAGTTCTGTATGCATAAATAAATAAATATTTAAAATGAATAAATAAATAAGTTGTTAAGGGAACCCTGGAAAAAAAAAAGATGAAATTTTCACCATTACCAGAAAAATTAAATAATTGCTTCCACATAAGTATTAAGTGAAAATGAAACACTTTTCAGTTACATCCTGCTTGGATTCCAGTTCTCTGAGCCAAAATTTTTAAAACTTGCTTTGTCTAGTCTCTCAACTGTAATGAACAAAATCTTCATCTACAATGTAAACGCTCTAATACTACTAGTACCAGGAGGTAGAAAAATAAGAACAAGTTAGACAGGTTTCAGTATTGCCTGCAGGTAAGATTATTCTAAATCACTGTACTCTGAGGATAAAATAATAGTACAGATGAAAGACAAATGGTGAAGACTCCTCACTCACAGACTCCTAATTCAAGATTTTGCACAGCTTAAGGAACAGAAGAATGAAGCTAATAGCTCAGAAAGAGAGGCCAGGTCACTGCCTGGAAGTAAAGAACTTTTAAAAACCAACTGTCATTAATACTGACCACTACACACTGGCCAGCGTTTATAAATATTGCTTTGAATGCTAGACAACACCAGAGTCTGATTTACCAACTACTGCAAGACATAAATATTCCATTATTAACATTCTAATAAATTTTATGTATTATGATCTCTAAACGTATGTATAAATACATGATCAGGATGTCAAACTTATGTTCAAGTTTCATGATTTCTGATTATCATGATTTTTGAAGAAGACCTTAGAGGGCCTCGTTGGTGTTTAAAGCCTCTACCAGGCTATCAGCAGCCACTGCAGCATGAGTTCAATTCCCAGCCAGAGAGCTGACCCACATGGTGCAGCAGACCTCTCCTGCTCCCCTCAGCATTGTATTTCAGTAGATCTGCCTTTTCTACCCCCCACTCAGTCTCTGGTGAATCCTCTTAATCCCTCCAACTCTGGCCTACAACCCAGCTCTTGTATACATAAATATATATATTTTTAAGAGACCTAATAGATAAACTAAATACTCTTTAAAAAAATATTTTATTAATTTATTTATTTATGCATAGAACTGGAATGTAGACCAGAGGTACTGGGCCTGAGAGGATTCACCAGTGACAGAGTGGGGAGCAGAACAGGCAGATTATACTGAAATAAACTGCTGAGGGGAGCAGCTGGAGAGACAGGAGAGCTCTCTGCAACGTAAGAGGGTTCACTCCTTAGCCAACGGCTTGAACTTAGGTCTCAGTGGTGATAGCATGATAGTGCTAAGACTGAGTCCCTACACCACCAGGGAGGCCACCTTCATCACTAACTATCTTTAAGTGGTGACTAGACCTTATCTTGTTATGAATGCAAACATTAACAGCATGTAGTGGCTCACTGGTAACCAAGGATTATAGAATATTGAATACCCAAGTGCTGTTTATGAGCCCAAATGGAAACAGAGGAGACTGCAATAAATTTCAAAAACATTCTCCAAGACGAGTATTATAGTGTTTACATGCAATGATACAGAATAGCAGAACACCTCAAACTCAAATGTGATTCTAAATCAAGAATATTTCTCCATTATACTTCCTAGAGGCTGATATACCTACAGCTGGTAGGCTCTCTTTTATTACCCAGCTACACCTAGAAAAAAGGTACATATTTTATTTAGGTTAACCATGATATCTGTAACACAGATACTTGAGTTTACTTCTTCAAACAAGTTATTTGTATTTGCCTTCCTCTCCTCCATCTCTCTATATGGTGGTATACAAACCCACAGGATAAACAAACACAGTGAACTTCATAAATACTTCACTCAATTTAGAGGGAAACATTTTAATAAAAAAATTATGGAAAAGGCAAAATTTTGCAAAAATTTTTAAGATTTTAAAAAAGTTACCCTTAAAAAAGCGTGAGCTTTCAATGCTTGGACTAGGCCCCCAAAACCCTTCATAGTACAGGGCTACTCTCTTCAACAAGGAAGCAGACTCCAATGCAACCATGTGTGATCAGTCCAGAATTCTCGCTCTAATGCTTTCACAGTAAGAAAATTAAGTTTATAGTCCTTCAGAAGTTAGTGTGAGAACACAAACTTGCAGCTTATATTCTAAATATCCAGACTTCCTTTTATCTTACTTGGCAGTTCTCTATTTCACAAGTTAGAGCGTGAAGTGACATTAGACACTCATGATCATCCAGTCCATTATCTCACTTTCACAATGGAGGTAATACTGTCATTAAAACAGAAATAGAAATATTTTAAGTTGGGTCCTGGGTCATGAGCCGAGTCTTAGTAGAAATAGATCTTTCTTCTATTCCACGAATCTCTCCCTTAAATACATGCTCAAAATACCCATGCTCTTGAAGATCACTACCAGAAAATACTGTCTTGATTATACAGTATAGTCATATCTTATAGAGGGGTTAGGATTTTAAGACATGTAAGAAATGTAAGCAAAAATTGAGCAAATACAAGGCTGGTTTTGAAATCTTTCTAATCTCTTATTTTCCTAATCCCTTAGGAAGGCACATGTCTGAGATCACATACCCTTTCATTAATTCCAACATGTCAGGTTTTTTTTTTTCCCTAGGGAGAAGAGATTGTTTTTACAATCAAACACAAGATTAGGCAACTGCCCTGCTATTAAGGGACATGTTACCCCAAAACACTAGGCTCAAATTCAGCCCTAGACAGAAGACTGAGACTGAGAGGCCAGTAAGCTCAGGGCTCTCATCTCATGTTAATTTGGGATCAACATGATTAAATGGATGGAAATAAGTCACTCTTTTTATATTTTTTACTATATTCTAGTTAGGTACAAAATTCATATAAGTTAAGCATATATAGTATGTCTTTGTTCTAAGGCTATCATATTAGTTCTTGCATTCAGCTTTTGTATACAACCTATATCCTCACATTGCTTAATCATTCTGTATAAACTGAATTTAGAGATCTGTAAAATAGATGACTAATGACCGTTCCAAACTATCACATGAAGATGACGAGCACAGAGAATATCAAAAATGAAAAATAACCAATAACATCAAATAATGACGGACACAAAGAAAATGATCACTCATGGCCCTCCCTGGTGGCACAGCCAGTTAAGGTGCAGCACTGCAAGCTAGCAGCAACTGCTTCAGTGCCCAGTTGGATCCTGGGCGCTAGGTGGCCCACATGGTGCCGCTGACCTCTTCTGCCCCCCACTGCTCCCCTCAGCAGTATATGTCATTAATCTGCCTGTTCTGCTCCTGGCTCTGTCTCTGGTGAATCCTCTTGCCACCCCTGCACCTCTGGCCTGTACCCCAGTTCTACATGCATAGATAAATATCTTTTAAAAAAATCTTTAAATAGCTTTAAATCTTTAAAAAAAAAAAAAGAAAATAATCACTCATAGATTGCTGGTAGGAAGATAAATGACACATATATTGCTGGTAGGAAGATAAACGATACAGTCATCCAGAAAAAAGTTTGGCAGTTCCTTTCAAAAGTAATAATGGGGCCCTACCTGGTAGCGCAATGGGTTAAAGCACAGCACCACAAAGCCAGCGATAGCTAGCGGCCTGAGCACAAGTTTGATATCCAGCCATGGAACTGACCCACATGGCACAGCAGACCTCTCTCCTGTCATGCCCTCTGCTGTGTACTTCTTCATCAATCTGCCTGTTCTGCTCCCCACTCTGTCTCTGGTGAATCCTCTCACCACCTCTGCACCTATGATCTGTACCCCAGGTCTGTATGCATAAATAAATCTTAAAAAAAAAAAAGGAAAATTTTTCTATTTTCATACCAACTACAGGAAAAACACCAGATAAGGAGTCAGAAAACTTAAGCTGTAGATATTATCTTTAACTTTAACTTGACACTTGACTTGTTTCCTCCTCTTTTAGGATAAAAGAATTGAAATATATTTTCAAATCATAAAACTTTATGTTCAATTAATCTCTGTTCTTAGGGGTTATCTTACTCATTTCTTGTATATTAAAAGGTCACCTCTTTTTGCCACAAAAAGCCTTAGAAGTTAGGACAGAAAAAAGGCTACTTAGGAGCCAGGATTATCCTAGATCCCTGAAGGAAAGGAATCTTGGTATTATCTATATCTAGGTAAACTTCAGCATACTCAAAGTATTGTTTCTAAGGGATTCTATTCTAATCCTTTTCTAAGTTTACTAGTCTGATTATTGCATTTCAAATGGCAAAAACTGTCCTTTCCCAATACATTCCATCTCCATGTAAATATAACACTCACAACAAGATGTGAATCATAAACATATTTTTGAATTTTAGAACATAATTACACTTCCTTTTATTTTTATGATACTCCAAATATCTGTCTCAATGTTTGACTTTCTTTTATTACCAAAGCAACTGTATTTCCTTCATCATTCTTTCTGTGCTCTATAAATTCCTTAAGATCACTGGTTTTTCTTAGTTATTATAAGTTTCAGAAAGTACAAGATTACAAGTGATCAGTCCTAAAAAGGCACAAGAAAACACAAGAACTTTGCAACTCTTAATAAAATGTGAAGAAGTGGCTCTTGTTCCTTGGTCCTGGACTAGTTGAAACAAATGTGGGGGAGAGATCCCGTGGCAGCATTTATCTTGATTTTGCTTTTTTCTTGATGTGGCGTATGGGAGAATTTATTTAGAGCAGGCAAGTTGAGGATTCAGAAGTGTCCCTCTCACTGCCCTGTAACAGTATGATCCACAGTGCATTTCTAGGCAGAGAATTACCAGGAGCAGGAGTATAGTCCCAGAACAGTCAAGAGACAAATCTGTTTTGCTACAAAATCTCCTAGCTGTTTTTAGCTTCAAAACAGAGGGAAAGTATAATTATCATCCTTTTATCCAGATCAGTGAATCGCTAATATTTTGCAGCAGTAGAAATGGGATCCCTTATAGGGTTATTCCCGGTGTATTAACAACTCAGGAGAGAAGTAGTTGTGAATCCCAAACATCAGAATACTTAAACATTCCTCACCACACACCTACCCCTGACATCTTCAACTCTTGAGAATTCCCAAGATAGTAGTGAGAAGATGAGAGAAATTTATCTGTTTAAAAGAGCATCACCTAAGTTCATCATCACTACCAGAAAGAATTCTCCCATATTCCCGATGTTGGTTATAACTGATAATAGGCAACTACACTTTCTTAGCCTGTTAGTTAAAGAACCAGAAAAATCTTACAGGGCCATGTAATTCCATATGCAGAGAAAGGGGCTTCTAGTACTTACACCCAGTCTTTTACTGGGTAAGCTTCCAACTCTCATAGTGAAGAAGAAAACCTTACTAATTTGGTTACTACCTTTCTTTGTATCCTATCCTAAAGCTAATGTTCACCTAATTGTGCCAGGCACTTTGAAAACTTCCAGGACTTTCTGTGTATTTTGCTGCCTCAGTGCATTTTCACCTGGTGTGGATTTTAGAATTCCACTTAGCCACTTATAATTCAATAAGGTCAATTGGTAACCTGAAATGCTATGCCTGACAGCATTTATGGCTGGCAACCCTGAGCACCCCTAAAGTGTTCATCTTTCCCATTCCTTGTGAAACCAGCTCTGCTTTACACATAAGAGACACCTGGAGTTTTATCACTTGGCCAACTCATTAATGTTTGCCTGAGTGAACCCTGTTCCATTCACCAGAAGGCTAAAGGAGGACTCTTGGCATAAGAGTACAGGAGAAATGAACAGAAAGCATGACACCAGAAATTTCAGCCCCACAAAAGAAAAAGGAATCAAGTTGGACTCATGTCTTCACAAGTCACACTTTAAAAAAAAAAAAGTGCAACTGTTTAATAGGCAAGTATCAACTGATCTCTGGGCTCCGTTTTGTTTCCCATTACACAACACTACTGGATGAACTGCCTCTCCCCGCTCGCTCACTGCTGAGTACTGAACAATTATGACCATTCCACTGTAGTAATTTTGGCTGAAGATCATTTTGGTAAAAGAAAAAACTCACCTCAAGTCATTTCCTATAAAATGACTTTCAGAAAATTAAACTGAGCTTTCCCCAATGTCATGCACTGTCAAAAGGATTCATAAGCCACAAAATAAACCCAAGATCATAAGTTTAAATACACTACCTGAAAGAGTAACGATTCCCCTTGGTTGAGGCCGAAACCGCAAATATTTGTTACAAAAGTCCGCAGATTCTAGGGCCAAAAACAAAACATTGCCCAAAAAGTAGCCCGCTGTCTGGCCCACTGAATTACAAGTAGAAGCATAACCCACGTTTTCCCGGGACAACATAGTTAACGCCCAACCATCCACAGCGATGTCCTGAGTGGCAGCCAGGAATTCAAACAAAAAGAACGTCACAGTGAGCGCCACCACGTCGGGGGCTGTGCCATCAGTATTCCCGAGCATACGGTCCACCTGGGTGGATAAGTAGATCATGAAGAGCCCCAGTATATACTGGGTAGGCACGAGCCATGATTTGCGACGACCGAAGCTCTTAAAGTAAACGGCATCAACCAGCGGGGCCCAGAGCAATTTAAGACTGAAGGGCCAAAAGACAAAACTGAAGAAAGCTTGGTCCGTATAGCTAACATTTTTGCTCTGCAGAATGAGTGGGATGCTTCCAGCCAGGCCGAGGGGAATGCCCTGGAGCACATAAAGAAAAAACAACAGCAAAATGCTGCTTAATTCCGCTCGGCAGCTCAGAGGGGCTTTGGAGAAATCACCAGTGCCAGCATCCCGCAGCAGGGCTTCTCTGTCCCCTTCCCCGCCCACCAAGTCCGGATGACTGTCATCCCAGCCGCCCAGCGGCTGAGGCCCGCTCTTCAAGTCCAAAGAGTGGTTGAACGTCCCAGGCCGTCGCTGCCGACTGTTGTCCTTGTGGGAAACGGTGGGTGACATATCTGATACGATGCAGAGTCCGGTCTGTGGGGGGCCGGGGCTTAGCGTCTTGGATCCGGCTAGTCCCAGGTCCAAGGCTGTAGCTCTGGACCGGGGTCTCGATGGCTCAGGGAGGGGGACAGGGCGCGGGGTGACAAGGCAGCTTCTCACGGAAGCTAGAAGCCAGTTCTCTGGCTGGAGGTCCAGGCGATGCCCAGGTAGGCGCCCCGTGGAGCGGCGTCAAGGAGCTGGCAGGAGGCCCCCGGGCGGCCGCGTCAGGCTCGGGGCTGAAGGAGGGGGCCGTGGTGGTACGATAGGGACGGCCCCGAGCTGCGGCCGGACAGAACAGCCAGTCTGCAGACCCGCCGCCTCCAGTTCTCGCCTCCACCAGAGCAGCAGGCAGCACTCGAGGCACAAGACTCCAGAGATTCCAGATAGCTTCCTGCCCCGCACTTCAGGAAGTGGTCCCGGTCTCAAAAGAGTCCTGTCCCCGCCCCCACAGGGAGCCAATCAGGATTCGCTCCCGCGACACTGCTCGGAAACAACGTCCGGTAGGAACTCGCTAGCCTGGCAGCAGGGACCTCGTGGGAGCGCTACCGCAAGCGTACCGTGCGGCTGGAGCTGGGCGCTGCGCGAGCGCGGCCTCTATGAGCGCATGCGGCCTTCTGGAAGGCGTGGGTTTCGCTGATTGGCTGGCTCGGTCATGTGAAGATGAGTAGGCGGAGCCGGAGCGGAGGCGGAGCTTTGATACCTGGCAGCCACTGAATCCGCCGTGACCGACCTTGGAGGGCTGGCTTCGAGGCTGGCAAAGGCTTTTCCTGAGCCCCACAGTGGGACTTTTGTGATGCTGCTGCTTTCGTGAGCCAGGAAGAGACGGAGAGGAGGACTGGAGTTTACGAAATTTCTGTATCAAGACGCAGGGGACTTTGTGATCCCTAAAAGGGTAGAAAAGCCTGGTTAAAAGGTGAAGGTACCTCGAGGTGCCTTGGTATTTTTGGGAAAAATCAAACTGCCCCCAAAGATGCTAGGCTTCTTTCTGTAGTCTAGCTTTGCAGGGTGAAACACGCGGTTTGGGGAACTAGGTTAGATAAATTTTAAGACTCATTACATCCTTCTGTTTTGAGATATTATAAAAGGCTCTTCTAGAGCCAAATATTTCAATTTTCAATTTAAAAAAAATTTTTTTTAGTTAACTCGGTATCTATGCACTACTGGAATAAGAGGAAATAAAAGGGAGCCAATATCATTTATAGTGTATAGAAAATACCTATATAAACTACCTATAAAGTTTTACATGTATACTACAGATTGTTTTCTGTCGAGTAACTAATTAAACGCTAAGAACAAAAGTCCTGTACGTGACAGTTAAACATACCAAACCATACACGGTATTAAGAGATAAAACATATTATTGCTGACCTCTCACAAATACAGTTGTTTAAATAACAGTTCTTTCTCAAAAGTGTTGAAAATAAAAAGGCTGATTTCCTAAAGGTGGACATTAAAATTTGAATACAAAAGTTTACACACTGTTGAATATACTAGAGTTTAGACAGGAAACCAAACTATACAAATACCGTATTTCTGAAACTTTACAAATACCGTATTTCTGAAACTTTACAATTTCAGGAACAATTTGCCACCCTTTAAAGAATGGTAGTTCTTATGAGAAGATTCACTTACAGACATTAAAGGTCTATGAACTTGTTTAAGGTTTTTTTTTAAGTACTTTTTTAAGTTTTAAGGATTTTTTTAAGTACTGTAAGGGGAAAGTAGACAGGAAATTTACCCCTAGCTCTCTGGATTCTTTTAAAGTTAGTAGGACAATCAAATTAATATCAGAGAGATCAGGTGGAGAAAAGAACTAATTTAAGTACATATGTATAGAGAATATACATGAAAGTAGACTCTAAAGCTAATGGGGTGGCATGCGCGCGCGCGTGTGTGTGTGTGTGTGTGTGTGTGTGTGTGTATTCTGAGGTAAGGAATAGAGAGGCTTGGGACTTCAAAGAGACTGAGGGAGACTTGGATGAGGAAGATCAGATAAATGTTCTCTAATTAGATGTTTGCCCTGTCATGTGGGTGCATTTGTGTAGGTATGTGTGTATATATGTTTGTGTGTGTGTGTGTATGTGTGTGTGTGTGTATATATATATTCTTCCAACCAGTTATTTCTAATAAAAGTCTTAATTATGGATAATGCCCCCAACTGTCATTCTTCTAGCTAAGGAAATAGTAAAAGTTGCTTCTGACCTTGATTGACCTCAGCTCAAAATAATCCAGGTACCAAGTGACCTATTCTGGACATCTTATGGAGGTCTATCTTTCAGTATGTATTCTTAGTAAATTACAAGGAAATGCTTGTTAAGTGACAAATTATACTTCAGAAAGTTTAACACAAGCTATAAATGAAAATTATTGTGTAATGTAATGAAAATGGAAATTATTGCAGTAGTTAAATATGTCTATTATAAATCTCATTCACACTGTTTCCAGTGACTTAATTATAATAATTTTTTAAAGATTTTTTATTTATGAACACAAAACCTAGGGTTGCAGGGTGTGAGAGGATTCATCAGACAGAGTGGATGGATTCACTGAACACATGGATCCACTGAATTATACTGCTAAGGAACAGTGAGAGGACAGAAGTCTGCCACACCACTTGGGTCACCTCCCTGGCTGGGGATTGAACTCATGCTGAAGTGACTGCAGGCAGCTCCATAGTGCTGTGCTTAACCCCTTATACTGTTAGGGAGAGCCCAACTTAATTAATTAGATGCTACAAAATAGTTGTTTGTTTTGGGGAATACTCTTTATTTTCCTCCTAATATCTTGCCGGAGACATGATTAAATTGTATTCCATTTTTATATGGTTAGAGAATTCCTTCCACTCTACTTGAAAATAAGGTATATAGATAAACTGAGTCTTTACTTGTCCAAAAATTATAGTTTTTGACTTTCAGCTTTTTTATTATTAAGAAAGATTCGTAAGATTCACCTTATTGTTTCTTTTTTAAGTAGCTTTTTTTCTACCTGATGCTTGAAGGTTTTATTCTTAATTTTTAGATGTACCTTTTTATTAAAAATATCTGAATCCTTCTTGGGATATATTCATTATCTATTGCTGGGTTACATATTACTCTAAAACTCAGTAACTTAAACAACAAACATTTTAATCTCACAGTTGTTACTGATTAGGAACTCAAAAGTGGCATTGGTACATGGTTCTGGCTCAGAGTCTCTACTGAAACCATAGTGAAAATGCCAACTGGGGCTTCAGTCATTTGAACACCTAACTATAGACAAGAGGATCTGCATCGACGATGGCTCACTCATAAGGCTGATGGCAGGAAGTTTCAGTTTCTTACCAAATAAGGCTCTTTGTAGAGCCACACAGGCACCTTTGAAACATGGCAAGTAGTCTGAGAAAGAGCAGGAAAAAGTTACATTGGTTTAATGACACACTCTCAAAGTCACACACTGTTAATGCCACCATATTTTATTCAGCAGAAACAAGTCAGTAAGTACAGCCTACACAAAGAATAAAGCTATACATTTTGAAGGAAGGAGTATAAAGAACTGGTAGACATACTGTAAAACTATCACATGATCTGTGAATAATTTCAATCTGAAAATACAAATCATTATCCATTAGAAAGTTTACTTAAAAAAATTCTAAGTAATAATTCATGTGCTAATGGAACACTATTACCATCAACATATATGGAAAAAAACAGAGCATTGTCAGACCAAAAACAGTAAAATAGGAATGTTCTGCTTCTAGACAGTGAGCCCCACAGAATGATAATACCAAGATTCGACCCTAATGTAAACTGTGGACTTTGGCTGATAATGACATATCAACATGAGTTTATCAGTTGTAAGAAATCTCCCACTCTCCTTGAGATGATAATAAGGAAAGTTATGCTTGAGTGGGTATGGGCAAAAACTCAAAACTTCCTCTCAGTTTTTATTGTGAATCTAAAACTGCTTTTAAAAATATATATTTTTAGGGCCTTCCCTGGTGGCGCAGTGGGTTAAAGCACAGCACTAAGAAGCTAAAGCCAAAAAAAAAAAAAAAAACCAGACAGAAGCTAAAGCCACTTCAGCATGAGTTTGATCCCCAGCCTGGGAAGTGACCCACATAACACAGCAGACATCTCCTGTCTCCCCCGCTTCTCCCCTAAGCAGTGTACTTCATTGATCTGCCTGTTCTACCCCCCACTCTGTCTCAGGTGAAGCCTCTTACTGCCCCCACACCTCTGGCCTGTACCCCAGAGGTATTGTGCACCTGTGTGCATAAATAAATAAATCTTAAAAAAATTTTGTGGGGCTGGAGGTGGTGTGGTTTTGATGAATTAGAAATAGTGGATAAGGGCCCTCCCTGGTGGCGCAGCGGGTTAAAGCATAGCACTGAGAAGCTAAAGCCACTTCCGCATGAGTTCGATTCCCGCCTGCCCCGGAGGTGACCACATGGCGTGGCAGACCTCTCCTGACCTGCCCGCTGCTCCCCTCAGCAGTGTACCTTGTCGGTCTGCCTGTTCTGCTCCCCACTCTGTCTCTGGTGAAGCCTCTCACAACCCTTGAGCTTCTGGGCTGTACCCCAGCTCTGTATGCACAAATAAATAAATTAAAAAAAACAAAACAAAAACAAATAGTGGATAAGGGCCCTCTCTGGTGGTGCAGTGGATTAAAACACAGCACTAAGAAGCTAAAGCCACTACATGAGTTAGATCCCCAGCGCCAGAGGTGACCCACATGGTGCGGCAGACCTCTCCTGACCTGCTGCTGTGCCCCTCAGCAGTGTTCTTCCTCAGTTGGCTGCAGTGTTCTTCCTCAGTTGGCTGGTTCTGCTCCCCACTCTGTGTCTGGCGAATCCTCTCACCATCCCTGCACCTCTGGCCTGTCCCCAGCTCTGTATGCATAAATAAATAAATCTTTTAAAAAAAAAGAAATAGTGGGTTATCAATGACTATTAAAACTTGGTGATGTTGGGAGTGCATTATACCATTCTTATTTTTGTTTTTTTTGTGTGTACATGTTCCATATTCTCTGTGATGAAAATTAAGAATTAAAAAACCACAGTAAATTGTCACTATTAATTCTGCTATTGAGAGACGCAAAATTAATTATGCCACGCCAAAATATATCTTTTTGGCAGAAAGTTGATTTTGTGGAAGGAACCCTGAAGAGTAGAGGTTGGGTTTAAAAAAGAATTTATATGTAAACTTCTTTATATAAGGGTGTTTCCCTCCTTCCCAGATTAGGCCAAGAAGACCTAATCTCTATTTCTTTTCAGTGAAGAAGGCAGAACTTAAATTCGCTTTACTTTTGTTTACTGTGTTTTCCTTGGCAAACTTCTTAACTGACTTTCCCCACAGTATCTTTTGTCTTAGCTATTTAAGATTGTGTCTGAAGTCAGGTGAATTATGCAGTCATGAAGGGTTGCTCTCACGTA